GCTGTGGCCAGCGTCTGCCCCCGGCACCAACCGCAGCGATCAGGTCCTGCAGGAACCAGGCTGAGCTGGGGCTGGGCACGGGCACCCGCTGTCACCCAACACGGACTGTCACCGCAGGGACCAGCAACGCGGGAACAGAGAGAGAAATTCCTGCGAGGGGGCTGCCCTGACCTGCTGCCACGGGGAACAACGGCTCGAAAATAAAATAGACTTTAATTCACCGAGCTCGCAGGGCAGGGAGAGCCCGAAGAGCCCGATTCGCTGGGGGCTGCAGGGCACCAGGCGAGGGGCACCCTGTAGCTCCTGCCACCCACCTGGCGGGGATGGGGATGGGGACAGGGCCACACGGCAGCAGGAAAGGCAGAGCCGGAGGCTTTCCCTGAGCCCAGCACTGCAGCACAAGCCAGGGCATCACCAACATCTGCCGGAGCCGTCGGCTCATGCCCCGCGCCTGTGGTTTGTGGTGAGGTGAGTGGGTGCTGCTGGCTCTCCGTGACCGTTAGTGCTGGGAGAGGGAAACTGCCAACAGCATTACCAGAAAAGACTCATCCCAGAAAGACTCATCCCGCCTCCCCCAGGGGCGGCCGCAACATCTGGGGCGCGGGAAGAGAGGACCCCCTGGTGCGTCCTGGCTCTCACACGCCGCTTGTACCCGGGTGCTGCAGCTCCCTGAGCCCTGCTGTCCACCCCCACCTGTGGGGACAGGGCAAGCGACACCCAGCACCCAGGGCCACCCACAGCCCCTCCTGGGTCCTCCCTGTAGGAAGCCCCTAAGACAAGCCCTTGGAGTGAGCTGCGGCTTCCAGACATCACCCCAAATCGCCCAGCAGACCAGCAGCGGGTCGCCGCAGCGAGTCCACCCTCACACAACTCCGAGCTACAGCGGTGCTCAAGCAGGAGCAACATCCCAGTGGGGCAAGACAACGAGGGGCGAGGCAGGCCATGCAGGCCACAGCCGATCTGCAGGAGCTGGCCCACCTCCTTTGCTGTCCCGGCCTCCAGGGACACCCACTGGGGCCGATGATCCCACACTTATATGCCCAAGGGCTGCTCAGTGAGGCAAGGAGCCACGGGGGTCGCAGCGGGGTGCTGCAGGAATCACACCGGGCCTCCCTGCAACCAGAGCCGTGGGAGCTTGGCCGTGAGCAGCCCTCGCATCACCCGGGAACACAATGTTCTGCTCAATGAGCTCCAATTTTAATTTGGTTCTCCTCGAAGCGCTGGAGCCCTGGATGCCAAATGCAATTATTTGACAAGACACAGGAAACAGCAGCGTTTGCTTAAAAAGGCACACGAGGCTGTGGAGCCGCGGCAGGGCCAGGACTTACACAG